ATTAGAATCAACTTCTCAGCATTTGAAAGGCATATGTGAAGTGAAAGCCATCTTCAAGCCACATTTTGCCTGTTTTTGCTGGCAAGTGAGTTGTGCAGACTTACCACTCAAAGGTAATAGAATTTTAGCATTAATTCTCCAGCTACCTATGCCAATAATCAGTTATAGTGGTGGCAGCAGCAGCAGTGTTTTTTGTTTGTTTGTTTTTTGTTTTTCCCATTTTGTCTTTCAATTCCCCAGATCACAGCTCTCTGGGTTCTTGAATTCATGAATCTGGTTTTAGCCTCAAAGGTCCTAACAACTCTGGTTGGTCAGCTTTATATTATTCTGCGAGTCATTCCTTGAGACTCCCTAGAGACTCGGTCTCAAAAAAAAAAAAAAAAGTAGCCAGGCACGGTGGCACATGCTTGTAGTCTCAGCTACTTGGGAGGCTGAGATGGGACTCTAGGAAGACAAAAGGTATTTCTTGTTTTCTAAGTTGTTTTACATTTTTGTAATGGTAGCCTTTGGAACGTTAAGGCCAGTCCCATGTCAGATTTAGTCAACTACAATTTGGCAAGGTAAAGCTGAATTCAAGGGATGAGAGAGTCTTCTTGACTACCTTTCCTTCCTGTGCCACAATCTCAATTGAGAGTATTTGTAGGTTTCAGGAAATCTGTATTAGTCATGGTTCTTCAGAGAAAGAGAACACCGTGTGTGTGTGTGTGCACGTGTGTGTGCACGCATGCATGCATGTGCGTAAAGCGAAAGAGAGAGATTTTAAGCAATTAGTTCACATGACTGTAGAGGTTGACAAGTCCAAAATCTGCAAGATGGGCTGACAGCCTGGAGCTCCAGTAAAGAGCTGATATGGTAGTTCAAGCCCAAAGGCCATCAGGCTGGGAACCTAGAGAAGAGCCAATGTTGCAGTTCAAAGGCCATCTGTTGGCAGAATTCCTTCTTACCTGGGATAGGTCAGTCTTTTGTTCTATTCAAGCCTTCAACTGATTGATGAGGTCCACCCACATGATGGAGGGCAATGCTTTATTCGAAATCCACTAATTTAAATATTAATTTCATCCAAAAGCACCCCTCACAGAAACATCTAGAGTTATGTTTCACCAAATATCTGGGCATTGTGGCCCAGCCAAGTTGACATATAAAATCCATCATCACATCCTCTAGAAGAAGCCCAGTCTCCTAAGAAATGTATAGGATGGAGGAAAAGAGAAAAATAAAGTCTCAGTTGTTAGCTTGAAATGAGTGGATACAATAGAGGTTCCCAAATTTCTTCCTTACCACTCCTTAGGAACGGCTTGTTAACTGGGAAGTTTAGACAAATAGGTAGGCCTAGGACTCTAAGTATTTTACAGGGTTCGAGATTTACAAGCTGTGCCTCTTTCTTTTCCTTTTTTTTCAAGACGGAGTCTTGCTCTGTCACCCAGGCTGGACTGCAGTGGCTCAGTCTTGGCTCACTGCAACCTCTGCCTCCCGGGTTCAAGCAATTCTCCTGCCTCAGCCTCCCACGTAGCTGGGATTACAGGCACCCGCCATCACACCTGGCTAATATTTGTATTTTTAGTAGAGACGAGGTTTCACCATGTTGGCCGGTCTGGTCTTGAGCTCCTGACCTCATGATCTGCCTGCCTCGGTCTCCCAAAGTGCTGGGATTACAGGCGTGAGCCACTGTGCCTGGCCTGTGCCTTTTTCTTGAATTTCTCTTCTTAAGGGGTCACGGTGCATTATGGAAGTTTGTCAAAATAAAGGGATGTGGAAAGAGTAAGTAACTCAATCTGCAAGAATTATGTGCTGATTTCAACTTTATAATACTTTCAAAAAATGCAATGTTGTCCATTTATTAAAAATAGTGAAGATAATCAATAATTAGGGGCATGGAAAAGCAGTGAAAACAGCACAATACTGTATCTATAAAATGTTGATGTTTGTCTGTGCCATTGGTAAATGGTGTTGGTGGGGGGAAAGTTGAGTCTCTTATGCATTGAGACTTTGGGGTGATGTGTAGTGATTTCCATATGGCTGGGCCTAGGACCAAGCTCCTTGCCTGAGTTGAAGGTAGAAGTAGAAGTTCCTTGAAAGAAACAGAACTAATTCTGTTTGCTGATGAAGATTCATCTGTGCATGGTAAAAACACAGCCTCAAACACAAATATAGTGTCATAAAAAATGTTAATGTTAAAACATTATATGCACATTTTTTCTTTTTTTTTTTTTGAGATGGAGTTTCACTCTGTCGCCCAGGCTGGAGTACAGTGGTGCGATCTCAGCTCACTATAACCTCTGCCTCCCAGGTTCAAACGATTCAGCTGCCTCAGCCTCCTGAGTAGCTGGGATTACAGGTGCCCGCTACCATGCCCAGCTAATTTTTGTGTTTTTTAGTAGAGACAGGGTTTCACCATGTTGGCCAGGCTGGTCTTGAACTCCTGACCTTAACTGATCTGTCTGCCTTGGCTTCCCAAAGTACTGGGATTACAGGTATGAGCCACTGCACTCGGCCCCCACCTCTCTCTCTCTCTCTCTCTTTTTTTTTTTTTAAAATAGAGACAGGGTCTTGCTATATTGCCCAGGCTGGTTTCGAACTTGTGGACTCAGGCAATCTTCCTGTATTTGCCTCCCAAAGTGCTGGGATTACAGGCATGAGCCACCACGCCCAGCCAAAACATTATATATTTGAACAAAAATCATGAGAGAACACAAAGATGCTTGCTGTGGTTTGAATATGTCTCTCAAAGTTCATATGTTGGAAATTTGATGCCCCATGTGGTGGTGTTGGGAGGTGAGCCTTAAAGGGAGGTGTTTGAGTCATGGGGGCACCACTCTTATGAATAGGTTAATGCTATTATTGAGGGAGTGGGTTTGTTATTTCAGTAGTGGGTTCCTTATTAAAAGACAAGTTCTGGCCCCCTCTTGGGTGCTTTCTCTCTCTATCTCTTTGCCCTTCCACCATGGGATGATGTAGCAGGAAAGCTGTTGTCAGATGCTAGTCCCTCAATCTTGGACTTCCCATTCTCCAGAACTGTGAGGAAATAAATTTCTGTTCTTCATAAATTACTGAGTCTGCAGTATTTTGTTACAGTAGCACATAATGGACTAAGACTATACTAATGGGTATGAAGTTTCTTTTCGGGGTGATGAAAATATTCTAAAATTGATTGTAGTGGTAGCTGCACAATTCTGTGAATATACTAAAATCCATTGCATTGTATACTTTAAGTTGGTTAATTATATGATATGTAAATTGTATATCAATAAAACCATTAAAACAGAAAAAGAACAGAGATAAAAGGATTTGTTAAAATAGTGTTGTAGAATTTGGGGTAAACTTTCTTATATTTTAACTTTTGTGTAATAATAAATGATTATTTTAATTTAGAAGGGGTTCTTTGTGCCACTGAGATTTCAGCATTTCTTTTTTATTTAATGCATACCTATTTCTCTTTTTTCTTCTTCATATGCACACTGTTGTATAATCTTTTTGTGCATATTATATAAAAAATGCAAACCCATTTTTTCCTGAATAATGTTGATATAACATTTTTAACAAGTTAATTTGAGAGGATGATGATGTATAAGTTTATGGGTTTTAGGATTTATGAATTTGTGGGTCTCAGTTTTTGATATTTCCAAACTGGCTTTTTTAGAAAGCAATAAGAACCAGACACCAAAGTAAAACATAATAAAGAGAAACAAAATATTATTTTGTATTCTTTCTATTTCACACCCAAAGAGGGATGTATTTCAGAGCCTCTTGAGTAAATAATGCCATTTCTTTCAAAATTAATATTTGAGTTCTCACAGAAGACAAGAACAGGCCTTGTAGTAAGCAGTGAAGGACACTGAATCTCATTTTTAATGTCCAGACAATACCAGGGTTGTGAATAGAAAGAAAAGAGCTGTCCATGTTGGTGGCCTACTGCCTCTTACCCCCAAATTGATTGAACATCTTTGCAGTTTTTGTTCTGGTTCCCTGTACCTGGATCTTCTCTGTGGGTCATCATCAATAAGGTGTTCTCTTTGCCCAAGACAGGCTGGTTGGGCTCACCCTGAGAGCTGCTTTGAAGAGGATGTGTGGAAATATTTTTTTCTTTTTTTGAGACGGAGTCTCACTCTATCGCCCAGGCTGGCATGCAGTGGCATAATCATACCTCACCGTAGCCTCGACTTCCTGGGCTCGAGTGACTTTTCCACCTCAGCCTTCTGAATAACTGGGAGTACAGGTGCGCACCACCACGCCCGGCTAATTTTTGTATTTATTTGTAGAGACGGGGTTTCGCCATGTCACCTGAGCTGGTCTCGAACTCCTGGACTCAAGGGTTCCGTTCACCTCGGCCTCCCAAAGTGCTGGGATTACAGGTGTGAGCCACCGCGCCCAGGCTACAATTGTTATACAAATTTTTTTTTTTTGGCGGTAATTTTTACAATTTTCAATATCAGGCATAGGAGGAGAGGAGTAAGAGGCCCAAGAGGGCTGCAGACTGGCAGGGAAGGTGAAGAATTGGAGGGTAGACCACTAACGATAACAGAGGAAATAAAGGTAGATGGTTGGCTAAGAATAATGGGAGAGGGATTGACGAAAGAAGGATGGGCTGAGGGTGGGATGTGATGGTGGAGGCCAGTGTGACCGAGGGGAGGGGAAAAGTGAAAGAAGCAGAGTGGGATAGCGTCCTGGGAAGGGAGTGAAGGAGGTCGGTGGACCGCTAAGGGTTAGACTCCTAGAGGCGGGAGAGCGGGCGCGGGGTTAAGGGGCGTGAGCAGCGCATGCGCTGGAAGCACACTGCGGCGATTCTGGAGCGGTTGTGCATTTCTGGCTTCAGCGTTGCGGCTCAAGGCACAGTTGGTCATGTGCCTGCTGTCCATTGCCGCTAAGGCCTGCCGCTGCCATTCAGGCGTCTCTCTCTCTCTCTTTCATGCCGCTCTCTCCACCCCATCTTGGGACGGCCGGCTCTAAGAATTCCTGCTACGACACTGAATTCAACCAGGAGGTAAAGGAACGATGCAGGGGAAGAACAGAACATGGAGGGCGGCGGAGGGAACTTGGGCCAGGAAGATCCTTAATTTGTTCATTTTTCCAGTTCACGGGAGGAAAAAATGGAATCCGTTACAGGCCCCAGTTTTCCAAAAGGATGTTGAGCATTTGCTTCCCATTGTGAAAGGAATGCGGACTCCTTACCTCTAACTAGAGTCAAGGCACCTGAGCATCGGTGTTTTCCATAATGTTCCCTGTTTAAAACATTTGTGGTTCGTCATTTGTAGCAGATGTATTTAAAGGGCGAGGCCTTAGGATTATGTTCAGCCGATGGTTTATGAGAGTTTCCCTTGCCTTTGTTCAGGTTGACTGGTCTTATGTGAATCCCGGGGTACTCTAGCCCCCTCCCTTGGAGTTTAGACCCATTCCATCTAGATCTGGGATTCACTCTGATCACCTGCAACGCCGCCTTTCCCCAATTCAACTTCCCTAGTTTATCGCTTCTACCCGCATTAGGGAAGGCTAGTAATGGCTCTCCTTGGGCACTGGGGCAGAACAGTGGCGAGAAACACGTCCACATAGCATCAGGCATGCATACTGTATACAAATAGGAGCAAGAAGGGAGAGGACTAGCGAGGTGCGCAGGGTATTTGAGAGGCTGGATGAGGAGGCGCGGCGCCGAGGGGCGGCGCTCAAGCTAACAGTATTTGGAAGACCTGAGTTAAGGGGAGGGGCTCCAGTGGGTGGCGGGGAGAGGGAGGCACGCATGCGCAAGACTTGAATGGAGTAGGGGTTGGAGGTTTGGAAGGTCAGGAAGGGAAGGACTCGCAGGCATATTTACGAACGCAAAGTTGCTAGGAGTTGGTACCAGCAGTTGGGAGGTAGAGGTGGAGCTCATGCGTATTTGAGACAACATCTTGAAGGTTGGGGAGAACGGTAAGGAGGAAGCGGCGCGCATGCGTATTTCAGACGGAGTGCCGGGGAGGGGAGGCGCTCAGCGTTCGGGTAACTAAGGTTGCAAAATGGCGAGGGGGGAGGTAAGCTGTCTTTGCTTGGCCATCTTGGGCTAGCAGGCCCTGCAGAGAACTACCTTTTTAGCTGAGTGAAGGGATCAGTCAACCTGAGTTGGAGTTCTCCTATGCTGTGGCCAGATCCACTAGAAATTAAGCCAGAATCTTAGCCTCTCACTGGCCTATCGGTAAGTGGGTTCAAAAATGAGGAGGCGATGATGACTCTGCAAAAGGTTGCGGCAGCTGGCGGTGCGTAGGAAATGCGTAAAAAGGGAGCACTTGGAGACAGGCCACATTTGGGCAGTACGCATTCGGAGGGCTCTCTCTGGCTTTCCGATCTTGGGTCTCTGTACTTGGCTCTGAATACAGTCATCCCATCAGAGTAGCAAAACACTGTGGTTGTAGTGTGAGAATCTAATGTTAATGTTGGCCGAAAGCCCTTGATTTTCTCCCCTGAGAACATAGGCGTGAGGGTTTGGATGTGTTTCCAAATGCTTGTTACTCTTTGCTGTAAACCTGGAATTTGGACCTATGGCTGCCTGGGACTCATACTGTCGTGGAGAAAGATAGAAAAGTAGTTAATGGCAGTGGTGGTATGAAGGTGACCTGGGCTTTCACCCTTTCCTTTATTTTTTCTTCTGTAGAACTTTCAGCACGGTTTTGTCAAGGGGGAAGATTAGAGTTTCTATTTTAAAGGCAGATGTACTGTCATGACTCTCTGAAGACTTGTTGTGAATCGCTAAAACTAGTAAGTTAGCACTTAGATACAGATACATAGTTAGAAAGGGCACAGGATTAAAAAGTGAAAAAAACATCTTTTTCCAATAATCCTAGCTATGATTTCATGATGGTCCTTTTCCTTCTCTGGACCTATTTCTCTCTCTCGCTCACTTATTTATTTCCTTTTAGACAGAGTCTTGCCCCGTCGCCCAGGCTGGAGTGCGGTGGCGCGATCTCAGCTCACTATAACCTCCGCCTCCCGGGTTCAAGCGATTCTGATGCCTCAGCCTCCCAAGTATTAGCTGGGGTTACAGGTGCGCGCCACCACGCCCGGCTAATTTTTGTATTTTTAGTAGAGATGGGGTTTTGCCATGTTGGTCAGGCTGGTCTCGAACTCCCGGCCTCAAGTGATCCGCCCGCCTCAGCCTCCCAAAGTGCTGGGATTACAAGCGTGAGCCACCACGCCCGGCCACTGGGCCTATTTCTCTATCTGTAATAATGATTAAATGTCAATAGCACTTACTACGTTTGAGGTTCTGGTCTGCGTGCTTTTACATAGGCCGTAACTCATTTGGTACTCTCGACCATCTTACGAAACAGCAGTACTGTTATTAAGGTTTTACAAATGAGAAATTTGAGGGACACGAGACTAATTTGTTCAAGGCTTTACAGCCAGTTGAATGGCTGAGACAGGGTTTTTATCCAGGTGGGATGGCTCCAGAAGCCTGTGCTCTTAAGCATTATGCTTTATTCCCTAAAAAGAGGAGGTGAATTTAAAGGAACTTTCTTTTATTATTTCAAAATCTGTTTGTAACTAACCAAAGCCATTTGAGAAAGAAGACCTGTTTTCTGTTTCTGACTGTGCAGACTACAGGGTTACATACCTAGGAGACAAAAGGTAAAGAATTGTTGATTTGGTGCCTAGTGGGGTGGCTATCCTTAACTACCCTTGTCTTCTGTGCTTTTTGTTCTGCAGAGGGTCTAAAATGGCCGACTGCGGCAGGCTGGACACACCCTTCTTGTTTTGCCTGATTTTCTGTCTGCTCTAACGCTTTGAAACGTCTAACCAGTCATTTGCTGCAGTACATGTTTTTTTTTAACCCATTATTAATATTTCGCCGTATTGATCCAAATATACAATAGTGATGGAAAGGTTATTGTCTTTTTTCTTGTAATAAAAGACTGAAAATACATTTGTTTCATTTTTATTATTTGCTTAGGATACATTCGTGGAAGTGGAGTTAGTACATCAAAGGGTATGAACATTTTAAACTCTCAGTGTCTATTGCCAAACTTCTTCCCAAAAAGGTTGTATCAATTTTTACTCATACAAGCGCTGAATGTTGTTTGTTAATTTTTAATGGATAAAAACCAGTATTAATTTTTCATTTGCTTATTAGTTTGGATTTTCTTCCTCCATATATATCTCAGCAGTTTTCTTTCATGTAATGATAGTTCATATCTTATGTTGATTTATGCGTTGAAGTTTTAGTTTAGTGTTTATTATTATGTTTGAGTGTGTTCTGTAAATAAAGATTACTCAGACTTTTGTAATGTTATAAATACCTACTCCATGTTATTGTTTGCCTCTTAATTTTTGTCTTTAAATTTTTGGTTAGTAGAGATTTGAAATTATTTGGCAAATTTGTCTTCTATTTTGTGATTTTTTCTTCTATTGTTTAAATTTGAATAGCTCCCTCAGTCTAGAAATTTGGTAAATTTCGTAACTTTGCTTGAGGATAACTATCAAGCATGGGAGAAAAAACATCCATAATTTCACCACCCAGAGAGAACTATTGTTAATACATTTATTCACTTCATTCTGTGCATTTTTCTATGCAGTTGATAATATATGTGTACTATTTTATATTGTGTTTTGTTTTTAACATTATAACATGCGTATGTCCATGTTAAACATTCTTTGTAATTGTCAGTGTTTCATGATGTTCTGTTGTATGGAAGTATTTTATAGATTTTCAGTATTTTAAATTATGTAATGAATATCTTTTCATTTGGTTTTTATTATTCATCCATTTTGGGTTGTTATCGAAGAGACTTCTAGAATTAGTTATTTGTCAAACGATTTGAACATTATAAAGAATTGGCATAGTTACTTTTCAAAAAATTAATGTCAGTTTTTGTACCCAGTCGTTTAGGTACTTATAAAAAAATGTTTTTGCTTTTTTTTTGCTGACTCCGTATGTAAATGAATGAATGGTATCTCTTCGTTTTTTTGTTTTGTTTTGTTTTTTTTGAGACAGGCTCTCCCCTTATTGCTCAGGCTGGAGTACAGTGGCGTGATCATGGCTCACTGAAGCCTCGACTTCCAGGGCTCCAGAGATCCTCTTACCTCAGCCTCCTGAGTAGTGGGACTACAGGTGTGTGCCACTATGTCCAGCTAATTTTTAAATTTTTTTGTAGAGATGGGATTTTGCCATGTTGCTCAGGCTTGTCTTGAACTCCTGGGCTCAAGTGAGTCTCCCATCCCGGCTTCCCAAAATGCTGGGATTACAGGGATGAGCCACCACACCTGGCTGATGTCTTTGTTTTGTGATACAGTTCTTTTATTATTTGGTGAGGCTGGACTTTAGATCTTAATTACTAGCTCTTATTTCCTTTTGTGAATTATTCAATTTGTGCCTGAATGTTATTTGTAAGTTGCAAATGTCATTTGTTGCAGATATGCTCCCAGTAATATTTGTTGCCATTGAGTCTGAAGAAATGTTTGCAGTTCCAGATATAACTGCTGTGTGGATACATGTCTGGTTCTTGGTAGCCATTTTGAGATAACATTTGTCTGACCTCTTATCTTATTTTTGTTTTTATTTTTAGAGTGTAGGTCTTGCCCAGGCTGGTCTTGAACTCCTGGGCTCAAGCGATCCTTCTGCCTCGGCCTCCCAAAGTGCTGGGATTACAGGCATGAGCCACCTTGCCCGGCCTTGTCTGACCTTTAAACAGAAATCCATTGCTTTTTATCTAAAAGGAAAGCACTTTTGAGTACTGTGCAACAGTGGTGCTTCCTGGCTCTGGGCATGGGGAGAAGACAGGGCAACATTTTGTCCCTAATGAGAAACTAATTTAGACAAGAAACAAAACAGTGGTCTCTTCTCCCGCATCCATTCAGGGACTGGTCTTATTTTAAATATTTGAGTGGCCTGAGGGAGGATATAGGCAGGTAGTGAAATGTCCACATTTATGCATACTGTTAAATGCTTTGGGGATGTGAAATGCATTAAGGAACACACTAGCATGTGAGAAGGCACCAGGAGTGGGCTAATTGGCAGAAAGGAACAGTGTACAGGCAAGAGCAGTGTAATAACTTTAGGGGAAAATAGTATGTTAAGCTTATTAAATAACAGCCTCATAGAGACATTGGGTCCCAAAACAGTGATCTCAGTATAACTGTCAACAACTTGCTGATGTTTTCAGCCCTATTTGCTGGTCAGAGACAAAAAAGCCATTAAAAACCTAGGTATTAAGAAAAGTATGAGACACAGAAAAATGCCATTCTATCTTTGTGTAAAACTGTTACAGTGGTAATAACTATTACAGTGGTAATCTTACCTCAAGGAGTCTGTTATTATCACTCACACGATTTTGAAAAGGGAGTGGGCAGAGTGTGTTACCTCTCTGTTTCATTTTTCTTGTTTATAATACATAGGTGAATTAGATATTCTCAAAGGTCTTGGAGGGGTCTAATTCTGGTTTCCTGAAACTGAATGTTATTTCTAGTTTAGAGAATCTGTTTAATTATGTTTATTAAATAAACTATTCTAACATTCCTACTCTGATCTGTATATTATCTATTTTGTATTTAATAGCATTCTAACTTTTTTTTTTCAGTGAAGGATGAGGATTATTGGATTTAGAAGTGCCAAATGAGCTGTTACTTATTGCTTTTTGCTATCCAGTTACACTGGGTTAATCCAGTTAGTTGTAAGCTCCCATTTTTCAGCATTTTGCTAGCTGTAGATATTAAACCAGGCTCATGTGAGTAGTAGGGTGGGGAGGTTAAGAAGAGTATATAAGCAAAAAGGGAAAAAAAACCCCTCATGTTTTAGAAGAGGGGGTTGAGAAGTTCCTTTATTGGAAGTCTGTGCACGGAAGTCCCATTTTACATCATGCCAGTGTCTAGTTCCCAATTCCATCTATGGCCAGGGGTTAGGGAAAGCCTGAATATTTGAAATAACCAAAAAGCATTTAACC